TGTTTAACAGACATACCTTGAGATCTATACTAATTGGGTCAGAGGGATTCAAAGGACACTTTTTGCTCCTTGCCCTCCTGGGTCGATTAGTTCCCAGGGACTATGAGCATCGCACAAAATGTTATCTATTTTTTAACATCCATCGGTACGTAGATGAAGACAAAGATGGATATTCTTACAGAATTTGATGAGCTTTTTTTTTGTTCTACCTAAAGGATGTCAAATAATCCCTTTTGTCCATTTCAAAATCTCTCACAGTTTTCTAATATTCTTTTGGCTGAATAAGACTTGGGCTGTTGTTCCTTTGAGAGCAGAGCTCTAAGAAAAAAGAGATCTAAACAAGGTTCATGTCTTAGTCCATTTTTCTGACACTAGAATGGTATGCATGAGCCTGGGTAACTTATAAAGAAAAGAGATTTATTTTAGCTTTCAGTTCTTGAAGCTACAAAGTCCAAGAACATGACTTGGTATCTATCTGACTCCTGGTGAGGGCTGTATTTCTTTCTGATGACAGAATGCAGAATAGGTGCATATGGAAGGGAGAACAGGGCCTATACGCCTGCAGTGGCTAACCCATGTCCATGGAAAAAGCATTAATCCTTTCATGAGGTTTCGTGAGGGATCCCCTCTCACCACCCAGTGCTTCCTACTAGGCTTTACCTCCCAATACTGCCATGCTGAGGAATTAGGTTCCAACGCATCCCATTTGGGAGGAACTCTCAAGACAGACACTTTTCAATTCTAAAACATCCCCTTTAGTCATACTTCCTTAAAAGATTGGCTCTAATCTACCTTAAAAGATTAGTTCTAAAAGGAAGACTTGGAAGGAAAACCTTAAGGGTGTAGCTGCTATTTTGGAGTACTTCGGTGTTCTCTTGTGGAAAAGAGAACAGCTTTTTTGTTTTTGAGTTCCATAGAGGACATCCATCAAGAAGTCGAAGCTATACAGATACAGAATTTTATCCAGCAAAGGAAATGGGGTTTTGCCTCTAGTGCTTCCTCCACCAATGAACTGGGTTGCTGTCTAGACAGTGGCATCCCTCCTCATCATTTGAGTGACTAGAGAGTCTGAACATCATCTGTAAGGGCTGCTGCTAAGTCTGTACTACCCACAGATTCTTAAAGGGGCAGCAGGAATGCTGCCTTGGGAGCCATAATTTAAAGCAGTAGCTCTCAAATTTTAGCATGCATATGAATCATGGGAGCACTTGTAAAAATTCCCAGATACTTGCCTTTCACCAACTTCAATTCCAGAGATTCAGACTCTGCTGGTCTGGAGTGGGGCTGGAATCCTGCTCTTCGATAGAGCGCTCTGACAATGCTGATGCTGCCCTCCAAGGGCTATAACCTGGGCGGCCTTGCATCTTAGGGTCCTATGCAACCCCTCTTCCTGCTGTACCCTTCCTGAGGAGCAGTGCCTAGGGCCAAGAGGACGTGCCCATGCAGAGCCTAGATTCTTCCTCTTCTTAACCACTCCCAGAATTTCTTGATCAAAGACTCTGAGCTTACCTTCTTGGTCTGCATGGGCTTCTTCTCCTAATCCAGCCTCATAAGGAGGTACTGTGAATTTTTAAAAATTTAATTCAGAGATGGAGACAGGGACAATTCTGGGTTGAGTTTTGTCTTCCCAAAACAAAGGTTGAATTTCTAACCTATGTTATCTGTGGATGTCACTTTATTTATAAATAGGCTCTTTGGTGACTTAATTAAGTTGAAATGAGGTCATTTGGGTGGGCCTTAATCCAGTAAGACCGTGTCCTTGGAAGAGAAAACTTTGGACCTGTCACATACAGAGAGGAGACTATGTGGAGTTGCAGACACTGGAACCACACTTGAGGACAGAAGCTGAGATCAGAATGGAGCAGTTCCAGGCCAAGGAAGGCCAAGGGAAGACATCTGCCGCCAGGAGCTGGAAAAGAAGAGGAAGG